AAGCGGATAAATAATAGATCTTCAACATACACCCAAGACTAATTATTTTTACAATTTTTTTATCCGGTTTATCCTAAATAAAACTCACAAGGAAAATCCACCTATCTATCCCTGTTCTTAATCACGATATGAGCGCTGTTCTAATTTTCGCCATTAATAACTGTTCAACTTAAGAATAGAGTCTAACAGCTCTATCATATTTGGATAATTCTACTGTAGAGCTGATCCTGGCAGTTTACCTTAGAACACTCTTTCTATGTATGTTGGCGTTTGTTTTTGTTGCAGTTCAGTGTTTCTGTTGATCCGTTGTTTTCCTCTTATAGTCGATGTGTTTCCCTCGGCTTTAGTTTGTAAGCGGGTCTATTTTCGCTTAATCGATTTATGACTTTTGAACAGCGGTATACTACTGTTGCATTTATTTGGTAGTTCAATCCTGACAGTACTACCCAAGAACTGATTCTGACTGTTCTACCTTTTAACAGTTCTAGGGTAGAAAACACCAAGATATCTAGGGTTGAACTGATCAGGGTAAAACTGTTCTAGGGTATAATTGTTCTAGAAGTGTTTAGAACTGTTTTATGCCAGATTATTCTGACAGTTCTAAAGAGAGATTAGAACTGATCCTAACTGTACTTATACCTCACCTGCAATAACATACTGTAATCCAACTTATTTTCATGGATAATTTATTTCGCGTATACCCTTTTCTAGCCCAGTTCGCGGCGATATAATTCCGCGATTTTCAAATTTACTTGATGTAATTTAAATAAGAAAATATCCAAGTTTTACATACTCGCGACAATTTATATTCGCGTTATTTTCTACTCGCGATAATCGCAAAAATAAATCGCCCGCGAACATTAATTGGTTTACAATAAGTAGAATTGAAACGAGCAAAATACAAGTGAAGTGCAAGGTATACAACAGCGCAGAAATGCTCATGGTTACTCCGATTATCTACTTCAAGACCTTATAAATGATTGTGATGACTGTTTATCGCTGTTGGTAGCAGAAAAATATCGGGGCAAATCTCAATACGCAAAATATAAATTTGTACAGAAATAAAAATGAAACCCATAAAATAAATCGATAAGCTAACCTAGCAACAAGTGCGCAAAGAGTAGTGCCAATTTTTCCCACTATTGGTTTCAATCACGGGCAAAGCTTGCTAGAATTAGTATACCAAAGACACCATATTGTATATTTAAAACATTTTCAACACTTTATATAGAAATTCAATAAAATCAAAATGTTAATCAACGTTACATGTTGCTGTTGAAGGCATTGTGATGCAAAGTTCCTAATTTTACACGTTTTTGTAAACAACGTAAGCATTGAAGGACGTCTAATAACCAAATATAAATAAATTTCATTCGAACATTATGTTTAGTTAAAAATTTCGTCCTTATACTTTTTTTTATTAATACACAAATTTTGCCACAGTCTGCCATAATAGCGCTGTTGGGGTTTCTTTTTTAAGTGTTTAAAATGTTGCAATCTGGTTAGAAATAATTATGTAGGAACAAAGTGACTGTACATCGATGATCGTACAACTTATACGTTGTTGAAACCTAAGATACCTTATTTATTGCCTTTGATTGGCAAACATACATGGAGTATCTGTTTCACAAACATCTCCGCTATTACAAAAATATGTTATAACTGTTTGAACCAATATCTCTTCTACAAATAGCTGAACAAGTTACTCTTATACATGACACAAAGTTGCAATTAAAAGAAAAGATAACAAAGGTTTGGTTGAAAATTGTAAGGATTAAAGACATTTTTCTATATTGATTATTTGATGTGTAAAGTTGGCCGCTGACTCACAAACTTTACGTAATATTTTGTTAGTAAGTTTATTGGTCCCAGTTCACAAATCAATAACCCGTCGAAAAAATGTATTAAATCCTATAACATCTGTACGATGAGAAATACGGTCACTACTTCATAAGGAAACGGACATGTCTAATGATCTTTGCCTTAAATCAAAAGGTGTCTTCTTCTTGGTCCACATCTAATAACGACATTTAAAGTAAATAAGAGAGGAACAATCAACTAAAAAAAATTGTCTTTCCATGAATGACGAAGAATATAAAATTATATATTCAATTTTGAAATATAGAACCGAAATTGAAAATGAAACTAAAGCTTACAATTTTGCAAATGATTTTTGCTCTTGTACACAACTATCTACTGCATTGTCCTGCATTCTGTTTGACAGGCAATTCATTTCCAAAGTTTTTTTCAGTTAATACCTTGGCCAAAACATATATTCAATCGCACGGGATTTTATTTGGCGTTCCTCAGAATATCAAATGGTCACACGGACTTCTCGTAAACTGTACGTTGTCACCATTAAAACTTTTCACAAGACGAAGTCATGCCTTTCGATAATACTTCTATTCTTCTGTATTCTGTCATTTGTTATTTGGTCTTTTTCTTTATGTGCCATGTGGTTGTCAGTTTATTTTCGACTTGTGAGTTTGAATGTCTAATTGGTATCTTTCGTCTCTCTTTATTTATAAGATATAAGTCAAACTTGAAGTAGTACAATACATGAAAGGAACGAAACACTATGAAAATTCTACTTTCTCTCTCCGTCACTAAATAAGACTAATACTGCAACCCATTTTATCAAGTCAGAATCAGCGAATCAACTTTTGCTCCCTCATCATGACAATTATACTTCTCCACGTTGAAAAGGAGGCGGAAGGTATCAATTGGATATTCAAACACATGTCGTAGAAAGTGTTATATACTGAGCATTATTTATACTTTCCTAAAAACAAGATATAATATCTACGTTGGCCATTCATTGAAATAAAGATAGACTAACTCCTTCAATCTGTCTTTAAGTTTAGAATGAGGAATACTGGTGTAAAGGGCAAATAATTCAAACATTGTTTTCATTATTGAACGAGGAGAGATTGTATGTACTTTAACATATATATCTAGAAATTTTAGTATAAAGATCTGATTCACACAGACCCCAGAATAGGCAGTTCCACACTGCATCTAAAGCCCGGTTTTGATTGCTGATAATAACGATACTAAAATTTTTTAAAGCGGTTTCGTGGGGCGTTTTGTAGATATACTAAGTAATGTAAATTGAAAGGACACTAAGGACACTTATGCAATCAATTTAAGTATCTCGTACATTGTAGGAACGTTTAATATTATAACTTTGCCTGACCTTGAAAATTGGAAGGAACATATAGCGGAGGTAGAACAGGTGTTAAGCAAACTCAAAAGATAGATGTAGCATGGGTGTTCATCGACCTAAAAAGTGTTTTAAATGCAGATTTGTATCAACCATCTTACAGCCTTAACCTATTCGGAAACAGTTTCTACGTTTATCGCCTCAAGTAACGCCATTGTGTGGCATAATTCTGATCTAGTCATTAATATTTAAAATGTTTTAGTTGCAATTTTTGGGTTAAGGCTCTTTGCATTTCGTCGCTTTGTCTAACATCTTTCGCAGAGAAGTGTTGTTTACAATGTTAAAGTCACCCGTAATAACGAATCGTATATGCATTTGGAACTAGCACAGGTAAAATCAAGATGTTAAGGCCTGAATTCGTCAAATAGGAGACAATACTACACGTATTTGCAATTTTTATTGCAATAGGTGTGGTATAGGTATAGAAGATGACATAGACAAACCGAATTCTAAAGTAGGGATTTATTTTCGATTGGTCTGATTGATGGTAAAGGGTATTGCATAAATGTTTGGCATCAATACCTTTGTTCGCAAAGAAATTTTAAGACAGCCTCAATTCTCCGTTTCATTCTTTTCTAATTACAACATGTCTTAAAAATCCGAGTTGATAGCAACAAGTTTATATTGATTAGAATATGGATTTGTAACAGTGGTTTCAAGATATAAGATCTATATGGTTTTGTAGGACTAGTATTTGGTTTTAAATTGTGTTGTAAAGTCTTTAAAATCTAAAATCTTGTGTAGCTTATTTGTGAGCAGCCGTGTGGGAAGATTTTTGTAACTTTCATTATTTCATGTGACAGATCTGAGTTATTTTACATGTCTGGTGATCATGAGACACCTGGTATTCTAATCGACACCGTGTCCTTGATATTGTCTCTGTCGGACAAGGCAAATGATTTCGTCATGGACAAACATGTCAACCAGCAGTGACATCGACCCAGTGATAGATAAAAAGAGGCAGAAGTTACACAAAATTACCATCAACAATCATAATTCGATTAAAAATTTACAATACCGGGCAAAAACCCAATATATCAAAGACTCAAACAAAACACTATATAGAAAACTAACGGCTGCTTCACAAATCCCAACAAAAATCTGGGTTGAGTTCTTGCTATGTATATGTGTCACCCATCGTGATGCGCATGACAAGTACAATTCGGTGATAAGTCTCATTCGGTGATGTCACACTCGATGAAAATAGAACGGGATTGTTGTTACGACAATTGACATGTATCCGTAGTCATCTGTAGCACATGTAATCGCAAAACGGTCAACCAAATCATGATGGCGTCCACCAAGCTTTCGTAGGGATGACTTAAACTTTACGACTACAAATAATCTATAAAGGAAATCATGGTATTAGACGTAAGCTCTAGAATATCATATCTAATGAAAGAAATATATATTCCATATACAGGCCTGTTGGAATGGTGCTACATATAAAGAGAAAGATTGCAATAGGCAAGCTCAAATCTTTTGTCGCTAGAATAAGCTCTCAACCGATCATAATTGTCAATTTCTAAATGCAAGTAAAGATTGTAAATTGTAAAATAGAATTTACGGGAAATTTGTACCTGTACTATGATGTCAGATTCAGTTATCTGTTCTTTTCTTTAAAACAAATGAAAACATGAAATAGTTGTATAAAGTAAAATCACAAAAATACTGAACTGAAGGTGCTTACATATAATTTATTCGTTTTTTATAGAGTACATACGGTCCTTTTCCTCTTCTTATTTATATAAAGAAATCAACCACAGTAACAATTTAATATTGGAAAAGTTTGCATTTTATTTTTGGACGAAATCAAATAAATCATTATTGTCAAGATCAAAACACACCAAAGCACATACAATAGTTTTTAATCTATGGATACAAATCTTTTGTTTAACTTGAAAAACATATATTTTTTGTTTCGATATCAATGAACTTACTGAATTTAAAAAAAAAAAGTACCAAAATAATAGTCATTTTGGGAAAACACGAAAAGAGCAGTTTAACATGTTCGAGAAAGATGAATCACAAGTATTAGAGTTACCTGTCTTACCCTAGGAGTACCCCTAATGAAAGTAAATCAAGAAAAGCGCTTCGGACGCTAGAAATTAATAAGGCGTTGTTTTCATTTTTAAAGGATTGTGCTAAAAGGTCATGGCAATCGAAAAATTAGTTAGGGAAATTAAACTGAAAAAAGTTGAATAACAAAAAAATACCGAACTTCAAGGAAAATTCATAACGGAAAGTCCCTTATCAAATTATGTTCACTACATTTGTACCTAGCACCGTCTGATATCAAACTGTTATAATTTGTGGCTCCTACTTATATCAAATACTCGCCATTTTAAGCGCTAAAAAGATATTTCTAAATAAATCATTCATAGTGACCGGTGACTGTTACATGGACAGATAGAATGCGAATTTTTCTGGGCTATATACTTGGTATTGATATTAACAAAAACGTACCAAAAAAAAAAAAAACAAGCTCAGACCAAAATTAACCAAATTAAAAAAAAACCCGATAAATAACGTTCTTAGATGGAAAAACAAGTTGTTCAAAACTGAAATTATTAAGTTCATAGCACAAGGAATAAAACGAATATACTTGACGAAAATAGTTCACATACTACATTCAATATTATACAATTATGACACTAGGAAGTGATGAATAAAAAAACCTAATAGCCATCAGGTAAATAAATCGAAAGGATTATTTCACTGATGTCGCAATCACAAGGGAAATAATCTTGCAGCGCTGACACCTCTGAATGTTCACCGCTTCGAAAGGTCACAATTGTTATGTTATACCATACAAACAGTAGACAGCCATATGAACCTTAAAAGCGAAGTACCTTAACAGATTGTCATACCACTGACGCCAAAACATTATGTTGTGTTTTAAAACCGGTCTTACTTTTTGTTGGTCTTACTTTTTGTTAACTTTTCGATATTTGACAGCTAAACACATCTTTCAGACTTTGAATATTTCAGGATTGTCTCGTTAACATTTTCCTTGGAGTTTTCTATCGAAAGGAGTACCCTTTATGTTCCCTTCTCAACAGGCCCTTTTGTGCAGCAAATTTAAATACTGATGGCCTTGAAAAGTCTATTAAGAACTTTTTTGGTACATACTGAATTTCCAAACCTGTGATTCGATTAATAAACATTGATCGGAAGTTATACTGACTTGCAAGCATTTTGTAAATTGTAAAGGGTATTTACCATTCCTTGCATTTAGATGAACTTACCCTAATGTTTTCACGTCCATTGATGAATTATTACCCAATATAATTATTTATTGTATATATAAAGTATAATAATTAGTATTTGTACACATATTTAGTAGTAGAAACGCAATAAGGTCAATTTTTAGCCCAACAAAATGTAGTTGTTGATAATTACTCCAAATTTTCAAATAATATAGGGAAATACAAAAACCAAGATTTAGATATGCAATAATCCAGATTGTCTAAGTATTGCAGTAATAATTACACAATTATACCATTTATTAATTTTTCTTGTGGTTTACAAATTATAAATCTGTGATAGTGATCATAAAATACTGCCCATCGTCTTCTCATTGAATTATCTCGGTATGGCAATGCGCAACTGCGACCTTTTGGATTATAAGTGTCGCTTATGTCATTGAGTCCCGGAACAAACCAATGTGACCATTTCCCACTGAACCATTTGATTTGATAAGCGATAATTCTTCCCTTTTCGATCACCAAGTCAGCCATATCTAATCCTGCAACCCATCTACAGTCTCTCGTTTCAGGCCGTTCAATCTGTGTACAAGTGGCCTGGAAAAGATATAACTAAAGAGATATATGCGTATCGAAATTTTAAAGGCGGTTTTAATGGACATATACAGGTTTGATAACTGCTTAACGTCTTCTGGAAACTTTTCATGCACAATGACATGTAAATGCAATATGAGTTTATCCTGCTCGGACACATTATTCCGACCCCAAGCCTTTCATCTTTTTCGCATAGTAAAGAAGCATAAAATACACACTTAAATGTCTGATATTACAAGGAGGTAGTCGAATCCGCTAACCACAGCATTCAAAACCCATATCACAAAGTTTTTGTTAACAGTAAATTTGACTTATAAGTAATGACTGGTTACTAGTAAACTTATACTCATAAATAGTTTCACGTACAGTCTGTTTCGCAAAAAAGTCTACGAAGGCTAGACCTGATTATGGTTTTCGACCGCGGAGCAGGCTTGAACAACTGCATATTACTTACTTCGTATCCAACCTTTGTCCTAGGTAAACACATATTTGTATGGAGATAAAAGATTGCCATTAACAGGTCATTTCCATGTGAGCATTAACTTTTTCACATTATCCTGTGATTAAATTCCGGATTATGTATATTTCTCATTGATAATGAGTGATAGATCAACATTTTTTATATGTGAATTATCGAAGCAATGATAAACCTTTCCGACATTTGTCATATGGCTTTTATCTTATTTTTACGCTACTACTGTCAAGCTACTTTTTCATAATTATGTATTTTCCCATGTAAATATGAAGGATGAGTTAATAATATTCGGGTTGTTGATTTTTGTAACAAGTGTGTGTCAAAAGATTCTAGCCTCATTTTAACGATCGAATTATTAGATTGAACTTAAAGGACTAAGTGTGTTAGTCAATAATTTTTCATCATATAGCATGTTTATCTATTGTCATAAAAATTCATAATATCGAATAAAATTTATAGATTTGGCTAACTAAGTCCTTACAATTGAATAAATTAGCATCCTTTTTTAGTTGGCAATTGTTTTAACGTTAATTAAGCTCCAATTGAAAATAGTTTGCGAGCCCAGATTAATGTAAGATAACTTTGGTTAATTTTCCCAATATTTTATCACTATGGGGAGATAATCTTATTTGGTTTTCATATACAGTCTTTTTCAAAAAAGTTCAAATGCTTTATGTAGGTTTCAATCATAATTTCTCACTAAGGCATTTGACACAAATTTGAAGTTTCCGGAATAAAGTGGTGGGTTATGGTGTTCTGTTTATGTGTTTGTGTGTATGTGTATATTGTGTGTGTTTGTGTATTTTTAGGAAGAAAGGGGGGTAGGTGACATCATACATGTATTTGTCTTTAGGGAATAAAGTAATGCAAATAAATCAAGACAATATGTCCACTTCATTTGAATTCTGACATAATTATATACAGTGACCTTCGGCTGTTGTCTGCTCTATGGTCGGGTTGTTGTCTCTTTGACACATTCCCCATTTCCATTCTCAATTTTACCATATTAAAACAATAAATGTAAGCTTTTACAAGTAGCAGGATCAATGCTATTGGAGGTGAAATGATGCGGACAACAACTTAAAACAGTTTATTCTTGACAGCAGAATGACTACAGATGTCAAATGAAACATGTGTTATTCACCTGAATAATTTACCTCAAATTAAAAGTAGACAGAATATTATATATATAATGTATTACCATAAAACGGCTGTAAAAGTAAACAATTCCAAGATTAATACAATCTGTACTCTCACAGTTGGTTGCCCCATCAATCTAAGTAACTTAATATGTAACTAAATAATATTTATAAAATTATGAAAGGTTCTTTATATTGGTACATGATAATTTTAAAAGTTTCAAAAACAAATAAATAAAATCACAGATATACATAAATGTCTTTAATAATAACTACTAAAGTCTATTAAATTTATAAATTTTGTAATGATTTAAAATTAATTCATATAACTATACATAAGGATGAAATTATGAACCTGTTCAAGGGGGACAATACTTCGATTCGTAGACTTGATGGAATTGAAACATAGTACAAAGGGATGTCAGTCTTGCATACAAATGACACATCAAAAGAATAAATTAACACAACACTCGTGTTCCAGCTTCTATGAAGATTCTGAATTATCAATATAATCAACAGTTGTTAATCAATAGGATAACGACTGCAAACGAATGCTAACCCACAGTAAAGTATATTTGTTTCAAATGTTTTAAACCTACTCAGAAAAATGCACGAACTACTTGACTTTCAAAGATCATAATTAACGTGTTTACACATTAATATAATATAGTCGTTAAACAATATTTGCCTCTTACAGTATAAGACACAATACAGATCGTATGCTTGCATTAACTTACACAAATAAAGATTTAATTAAAGCCTGAACATTTTGACATTGTTTATGTTTTTTATCTGTGTATGTTTTTTTTTATCTGTGTATGTTTTTTATAATATTATCATAACTTAATGTAAAGATTTGACTAAATACCCATATCCCGATATCGTCAGGTAGAATACCTACATCATAGGTCAAACATATTTCATATTTGAATTATTTGTTTGAAGTGTGAAAGGTCGACAGCATTTGATGTGTCACACTCACTCATTTTTGACAAATCTTGATTTAATTTGAACCCCCTTTTCAAATAAAGTCTGTTTCCAAGTGACCGTGAATGTAATGTCAATTATATTTGTTAATGGATTTGCTGAAACATAAAAACGTCTGCATGTCGGTATGTTATAAAGTGAAATACATGTACCTGTGTCTTTATATCCGTATGTAAAAAAGACCTTCCTGCATTTCTATATCTATAAGTGAAAAAAACGTACCTGTGTCTTTAAAGTCGTCTGTTAAAAAGACGTACCTGTGTCTATATCTCTAAGTGAAACAAACGTACCAATGTCTTTACATCTGTAAGTGAAATAGACGAAACCTTGTCTCCATCTCATAAAGTGAAATAGAGGGAACCGTGATTTCATCTCATGAAGTGAAATAGAGGAAACTATGTCTTCATCTCATGAAGTGAAATGGACGTACCTGTGTCTTTACATCTGCAAGCGAAATAGACGAAACCGTGTCTTTATCTCAAAAGTTAAATAGACGTACCTGTGTCTTTACTCCTGAAACCGTGTCTCCATCTCATTAAGTGTAATAAAGGAAGCCGTGTCTTCATCTTTTGAAGTGAAATAGACGTACCTGTGTGTTTACATCTGTAAGTGAAATAGATGAAACCGTGTCTTCATCTCATAAGTTAAATAGACATACCTGTGTCTTTACGTCTGTAAGTGAAATAGACGAACCCGTTTATATATTTTAAAGTGAAATAGACGGACCTGCGTCATTATATCTGAAAGAGAAATAGACGTACCTGTGTCTTTATATCTGTAAGAGAAATAGTTTTACCTGTGAATGACTTAATATCTGTGAGTGAAATACAAGTACCTGTAACCTAATATCTGTAAGAGAAATAGACGTACTTGTGTCTTAATATCAGTAAGTGAAATAGACGTACCTGTGTCTTTATATCATACTGAACTTTTTGTGCTGATGATCCAGCCACAACTAACCCAATGAAAACAAGAAAAGTAACAAACATATCGTCAGAAATAAATGTACAGTCTGGTCATTTCTTATTTATATATCAAGGAAACGTAGTGTAGGAGACAGATTTATTATTAATCCTTTTGTTATATAATCTAAAAAACAACATAATGGTACTTTAATTGATAACATATGTTTATTTTCTTTCAATTGTTATGTAATTCTGCGGGGAATTTTGTGATAAATACATCTATGTAAGTCTTATGATTTATGAAAAAAAATCTGCAATAAAAATTTGCAAATACGCTTATGAAATAGACAAACGTACTTCCTTATCTTAATGTACTGGGAGAAAATTAGCCTTTTATTAGCTTAAAAATAAACATGTTGTGTTAAGTACTTTTGCTTCAGGAAAAATCAAACCGAGAATACCATAAGTTGTACAATTAGATTCGAACAAGTTAAAGTGAATTGAGGGTTGTTCCTTATAAAAACGTATGTTATTAGAAATTTTTGAACATTTATCGATACTGACGCTTCCACCTATGCCTAGGACGACATTCCATAATTCGATCTTTACATGACAGTTGTATTTTAAAAGACAAATGTATCTGCTAGCTATAAAGAATCATTCAATATACTTTTGGGCCTGTTGTCACCTAAAAACTATTGTCTGATTATTTTCAGGGGACATTTACGGAAGTTAAAAAAAAACACAAAAAAAAACATGTAAGTATTTTGTGTAGGGCACACTAAACATGTGCAAAGGTTGAAGACTAATTACCCCAGATAACACTCACAAAAATGTTTTTTTTTAAGTTATGCACATTTAAGATCCACTTTTAAAGTCAAGGGCTTTAAGTAAAAAAATAAGGGGTGTTAGTCCGACTCTTTTTTTAATACATTTTATGAATAAAATATTTAATATGCTTAATTCTGTCCCTGAAAATAAATGAACGAAAGTAAAAAAAAAAAAACAAGTACGAAATACATATCCAATTTAAACATTTGAAGTAGCACGAAGCTTTTCTTCTGATATTCAAACACACACTCTCTGTTATTATTACACATTAGAAAGGTATTTCACTTGACCCATATATTTCATGTTTTGATTCTGTGAATTTGTAATGTTACATCAAAATGTAGCCTAAATATATAAAAATGATGGATCTGAAGTGACATAATGTACGTTTTCAGGACAAAACAGTCAACTCAAACACATTTGAACGTAAAATTTTTCTCTTTTGAAAAGATTATAATTGCCCATTTTGTTATTTTCCCCCAAAATAGTACAGGAAATACAAATTACTGCTTCAAAAAGATCAATCAGTATAACTTGACAACAAGATGAGAACAGTTTGAATATCACAAATCCATCACTAAAAAAATTCCAAAACTGACGAAAGCACTTGCTGTTTCTAGCTCAGATTCTGAATAATAAAATATATAAAACCAACTACAGAATAATGAATTTATATTTTTTAACTCTGCTCAGCCTAACCAAGTTTTACTAGGTTATTCATTCGGTATATTTTGTCATCTTGGTACGGTCCCTCTACTTTTCTAGTCAGTGTTGGAATCGGTGTCGGTATAGGTATCCGTGTAGATAACTTTTCTAAAATGACTATTAATCGCTATAGAGGGCTTGAATAACCGATTGGTTAAACATATACTAGTAGCTAACAACAACTATTTCCGAAAGTAAGAAAAAAAAAAAGAATATAAAACGGCAAAATTTGCAAATATATTTGATTATCTATACTAATATTCAAATACTATTGAAAGTTTATTATTTGATTATCAAAGATCACATTAAAGTAACTCAACTTCAAATAAATGGTATTATTTTGGCATTCTTTCTCAAATTATAGATAATTGGTGCTGAAATCTGAAATAATTGCTGATGAAGTCTATTTCAATAGATTTCCAATAAAACATCAAATTTATGAAAATACAGATAACCATGTGTGCTTGTATTTGAAATACTATTTATGGAAAAAATTATGATGAACAAATGTTTCGTATGAGATCTTATGGAAGACGAATATCTTTAGCTTGAACGGATAGTTTTCTTTTATATACTGTAGTAAATGATTGACATATTTTTCAATAACTGCATGCAATCTGGATGTCAATCAACTATGGACCTGCCTAATAGTCAGCACTGTTTTGTTTTGACACGAGATATCATTGATATGTTCAATTTTCTGTAGATTTACTGTTGAATTATTCGAAACACTTAGATTTTTCTACCCCTCAGGTATTGAAAGCCTTAGCCAAATTTGGCACAACATTTTGGATTTTTCGGTTTTCAACTTCGTTTTTGATTTAGCTATTCAACTGTTTTAGTTCAAGCGGTGTTTTAATCTAATGTAAATAGATTGTTCATGTTGTAAGCACTAGCTTGTTATATATGTATCTGCAAGATTTTGAAATGTAATATATTTAGACCAACCAACCGTTTAGTATTTTATCATTAATCTTTACTAAACCAATATATATCCAGCTCCATTAATGATTCAGTTGAAAATATACGTGTTCAAATCACTGTACGCCTCTTCCCCTTTTTTTTTTTTTTTTATCTTTAGACCGTTAAACTGTGAAATAATTCACAATCGTTTGGTTAGTCTTTTCAACTCGCTAAAACATTTACAAAGATACTAAATAATAGTTAAAAAGGCCTGACAACATAAGATAGCACAACAAAAGTGCGATGACGTTGTCGTTTTCTGCTTGCCGATTAACGGCATACTATCGAGAAATATTTCGCGTTGTACATTGAAAAAGAAGGTCGTATTTGTATCTATGATATTTTGTACATCATATGTAATAAGAGGGGGATAATACCAAAATTAGAATCAAAACTGACAAGTCGAAGAGAAACTAATTAAAAACATGGGAAAACTGAAAACAACGAAAAGTCAAACACCAGTCTACAAAACACTACATAAAAAAGATTACTCAAATCGAAATCATACAAACTCCGTAGGAGATCCAGGGGGCTCTAGAAGGTAGGCATCAAATGACTTTCCCTGATTAAATCTTAATTAACATATAGAAATTGAACACTTGAAATAATCCCCGGTTTTAATTGGGTTCGTGTTGCTCAGATTTTTGCCTTTTATGTGTTGTTTTTAAGACTTATGTTTGTCTGTTCGTCTTTACGTTTTGTTTTGCCATGAATTTGTCGGTCTCTCTTCAATTTATGAATTTTTATTGTCATGTTAGCATCTTCTGCCACTTGAAAAAGAATACGTAAATACAGAACAATTTACGTACATGTAAGACTTACAATCTTATTTAAAATGACTCATACCATCTGTTGTAAAAACTCGACATGACTCTGATACATCATTTTATTTAAACTTTGAAAGCCATATAATTTATACCTGTTACTTGTAGAACAGTTTTTTTCCATTATCTGTAATTAAAAACTTATAGCTTTCAATATGTGCTACTTAGTTTTTATATTTGACCATTAAAGAGTCAATGATTTTCAAAATTAATATAAAAAAACCACTCGTTCAATCTGGTCAAGTCTATTTTAAACAACTCAGTGTGATCTATTTAAGGCAAAATTCTGCACCGATTCAACTTTTTACATAAGACTTACGAGTTCCGTCCTATGACATTTTATAAAGTCGGGAGCTGTAACCCCAATTCGCTCTCTTACTCTTTTTATAGTATTCTTTATATCTTGTAGCTCTTGAATAACTTTTTGACGTGAAGTTTTTATGGTCCAAGATTGTAAATTGGAAACCTGTACATTAATGTCAGATTCAGTTATCTGAAGAAAGACAACCATTTTCTTTAAAAGAAAACACGAAATAAACTTATAAGTTTTATAAAAGTTCGATGGTATATTTTTTTTCATTCTTATTTAAAAGAATTATAAGATTGATTTCCCTCTTATGAATTTTATGAAGAAATCAACGGTACAAACTTTAAGAACTCGAATTTACATTAATATTGCAAAACACAAATCGTCAGTTGAATATGTAACAAATATTGTTCTTGGTTCGATATAAATTGAATAATTGAAATTTAGAATAACAGCCAAATATTTTTTTTTCTATTAAGAAAACAAAGAACTGAGGTTATCAACGGGATAAAACAAAGTCGGTGACCCGTTGTTTTCATCTTCATAATTTTAAAACAAAAAGTTCTCAAATGAAAACAAAAGTGGTATAAGACTAACTGAATTGAGTTCAGGGCACAAGAAATATACCAATTTGACGGGGCGAAAATAGTTTACTTACTACATTAAACATAAGGTATTACTGCATGTACTTAGTCAGTTGAAAATGCATAAAGGCCTATTACATGTATTGTAAGTTCAGCGAAGTTTTTGATGATTACTTCAAATGTGCACATATGTGCTCTACCTCAGGCTGTATTTGGTAAAACCTTTCGGAGTTTTGGATCCTCAATACTCTACTTTCCTACTTTATTTGGCCTTTTTAACTTTTTCGATTCGACCGTCACTGAAAAGTCTTTTGTAGCTAAATATAGACGCGCGGCTGGCGTACGCAATTTTAATCCTGGTATCAATTATGAGTTTATTTGTATTGAAGGAAATATGAGGATAAGATATTCATGATATAAAAAGATCTTTCAATGTTTACGTCATAATTACATCAAAATATCTATTTATTGTTTCCTCGTGTTTTACAAATTATAAATCTGTGTGTGCGATCGTGAAACACTGCCCATCTTCTTCTCATTGAATTGCGTCGGTAAGGCAAATCACATTTGCGACTGCTTGGATTGTAAACATTGCTTAAGTCATTGAGTCCCGGAACATACCAATGTGACCATCTTCCATTGAACCATTTAATTTGATAAGCAATAATTCTTCCTTTCTCGATCAATAAGTCAGCCATATCTAAACCCGCAACCCATCTACAGTCTCTCGTTGCAGGCCGTTCAATCTGTGTACATAAGGCCTGCAGAAAAAAAACCATTACTTAAATATAGTCAATACCGATTTTCAAATCTCATCAATTGATAAAGAAGACATATCCATGAAGGTGAAGCAACCAAAAACCGAGGAAAATATTTGCAAACACATTTTAAGAA